ACTATTTAGGTTTAATAGCAGATCAGACTAGGGTTTGTAAAAACTCTAAATTCAAAACTATCACTGGAATAAATTTCTTCCCAAACATCCAGCAATGTGTAAAAATAGTAAAAAGTATGGCTTTCAACCTCACCCCCCCAAAAAAAAGTCACTTCCTAAAATATGATCAGAATTAAAACTGAAAAATCAAAAGAACTGAGGATGTCAGAAACTTAATGCAAGAATATCATTTCTATCAATCTTCCATGATTTAGTAAAATGGGTTAAATAAATATGTAAGTATAAATAAAGAAATTTTGTACAGATATTTACTTTTTACAAAGACTTGAAATGTGTTAATAGATTAGGAATGATTCATTAACTTTTAGAAGCCCACCATATTACATTGGCACAGCAGTATGCTCTACTTGTCTTCTTGAATTGCACTCATAGCAACAGAAACTAAATAATATGAATTTGGTAACACTTGATATAATTGTTTTGGGTCAAAATAAAAATTTGTAGTACTTTTTAAGTGAAATTCAAATACAATATTTATCTGTATATAGACTTATCCAACAACATGTGTCATTTTCTTCCACTATCTTTTGCCATTTTTGAGGCAACTTCAGGATTCTATACCCCCAGAACTTGGCACTTTCTTGAATTGGTTCAAGTAGTTTTTACAGGCTTACAGAAAATTGAAGTTCTTCCAATTAAGAGATGTTTGTAGCAATCAAAATAATTGTTAATCCAAAGGTGCAAGTTCAGGTGAGTATGGTGGGTATAGTAAGACATCCCAGTCTAGATGTACCAATTTTTACTGAATTTGCCAATAGATATAGGTTTTGGCTTTTGCTATGATGGTAGACAACACAGTTCCAATTGGCCAATTCCAGATGCCTTTCATCTGTCCATCTGGGAACAGTACTTGTCTGAATTCAACGTCTTATTTTGTGGAAGGAGCTTGTAATACACAATGTTTTTCCAACCCCACCTGATACACAGCATCACCTTTTTCAAATGTAAACCATCTTTTGGAGTGGCTAATGGTAATATTTTCATTTTTAGCATTTGCATATTATACCTAAGTCCTGTTCTTGGTTTGTAGGAGCAGAAGTAGGCTGGTATTAACATACATTAACATTTAGAAATTAATTTTAAGGAGGAGTAGTTATTTAGTTATATCCTTTCATCTGCAAGAATTTGTGACAAGCGTCACTAACCCAGCAAACTATACATTATGCTTTTATTTTACTTTTTATTTTGAATTATGCAATTAAATAATTTGTTTAAAAAGGGAATGCATGTTACAAAAAGTAATAAAAATTAATTCTCTCTCAAGATACAAATCACCTGATTGCAAGGAGCATCCAAGAAAAAGAATGTGATAATAAAATAATTTAACAGGAAAAAAATGACAATGATGTTTGCATTATTTTTATGGAGTGGTGAGTCACATTATAATCTGTGAGCATTTGTATACCTGTAAAATCGAAGAAAAAGAAAAAAAAAAGATTCAAATGGTAAGATATAAATATTTATAAATACGACAAAAGACAACAAAACACTTTTTTTCAGTGAAACAAAAATGATTTAATGATTACCAAAGAATCATCAGCAAATATTAAAAACACTCTTGTATATAAATACATAATGTACATATACATACATTTTATATATGTATGTATGTACACACATACACACTGACATGCAGGAATACACAGGCACTCATATCAAACGATTTCAAATGTGATATTGCCATGTTGTTTTGGTTCTGTTACTGGTTGCTTCCCAGAAAGCAGAATTTAATAGAAAACAAAATTATGTCAAAAATAAAAAAAAATAAATAAAAAAAATAAAAATTTTTTTTTAATATGAAATCGATGACTAAAAAATAAATGACTACAAAAAAAGAAATTCCATTTCAAAACATTGTTCCTTTCAAATTACTGGGTGGGACCATTACTTCTAAGTGAATTTGCATATTCAATTGATGTACTTAGATAAAAAAAACGAATAAATTAGATTTTAAAATGTCTTGCCTTAAATGTACACAAATTTCTTATCCTTTTGTATGAAATCTTAACATTTATTGAGACTTACTTTTCACATGAATTGTTAACAAAAACAAAAAAGCGTCAGTTACAAAATAAAAATGAAAGGCTTATATCTTAAAAACATTTGATTCATACCACATCAAAAAAATTAATTCAAAACTTTTAATCTAAAAAATTGAATTTGAGTATATCAATTATAGTAAAATTAAAACCGTCATATAAGTCTTTAAAAAAAGAAAAAAAAGAGACCAAAATTTTATCTACTATAAAAAAAAAAAAAAAAAAAAAAAAAAACAAACAAACAAAAAAACAGATTTTTGGAGCAGTGCCGTAATCACTTGATGCAATAAATCTTCAAACTGGTCAGTTAAGATTTGCTTAAATAAATAAAATAGCAGCATTTAAACAATGTTCTTATCAAATTATCTCCCAAATAGATGAATATGTATTATGATCTTGTGGTGCTCGTTAATGTGTTATTTAATTGAACTTCGGTTCATATGCCATTTATCTGACTAAATTGAAAGAGTGGGAGTTGTATAATATAAGACATATTTTGTTTATCATTTACAAAGGTGCAATCTCCAATTGAACAAATGAATTCATGAACATCATGTGTCTTATGTAAATTGGTGAGAGAAGAGATTATTTTTGCTAATTGTTACTTGTTTTAAATATTTTTTAGTAAATAATAAATGTATTTTTATCAACAGGTTTGATGTATCTATATATTATTATCTTTTTTGCAATTTCATCCTTCTTGGAGTTATGGTGAATTTGATTTTGTTAAAAGATGTTGGCCATATTGTTAATCTTAACTTTAGAACTCCAGTTTATAGTATTAAAATTATTATTGTTCAAGTTGCATTTGTCAACTATCCATTTATCTAACCAAAGTGCAAATAGAAAATACATTAACAAGCACCACAAAAGTTATATTAGACAGATCCTCTCTAATATGTGTGTGTGTGTGTGTTAGTGAGTATTGTATAGGTTTTTTTTAAATCTTTTTACTTAATCTTGTATAATATGCACGGATACAACAGCATTCTTAATGCTTGAAATACTAGAGACGTTTTGAAAGAAAAATGACAGCCATAATAACTTCACAGCAGCAAAATATTGCACTTAGCAAGGAGAAATGATAGAAATATTGGGGATTGCAGATTTCACAAGCAGGCTGACTGCAGTGAACATGGGTTGTGAAAGACTTCAAGGACCAAGACTTGCAAATGAACCAATCTTTTCACCAGCACAGTTGCATAAGAATCTGAAGACAATACAAATAAATGAACTTTTTATTTTATTTTACATTTATTTGTTCACTTCTCTATATTTATCCACTGAGTTTAAAGAGGATTTGATAAAATAAGATTATCATCACAAAAAAGACTGCGCAAAATGATTTAATCCAATTATTTCAGAATGGCGTTAATGGTTAGTGATAGGAGACAGGGAGTGACAGCATCAACATCAAAAATTTAGCCATTCTTTAAAATTCAATTTTTTTTTTTCATTAAGAAAATAATTATTTTCCTCATCAAATAAAATAAAAAGTGAAAACAAGTTAATTTACAACCTAAAAGTCATTTTATCAAAGCAAATGCTGAATACCATTTCATATAAAAAGTAAAAGAAATTTTAACTTAGAAACAGGTACACCATTTACTTCTTTTCAAACTTACCGTTCTTTTAAAGAAGTCAATTTCTATCAGTATTGTAGCAATGGATTTTTCTGGTTAACCAATAAAAAAAAGATTATTCTGAATTTGCAAACAAAACGAACCAAAGACATTAAACTGGGAAAAGATACTGTAAAGTTTGAATGTAATAAAAAAATAGATTTCCTTTGCTGTAGTTTTATTCCAAAGCAGAGCAATGTGTAATGTACACACAACATAAGCAAGGAAGATCAGATCAGATCAAAAAAAAAAAAAAGAAAGAGAGAGAGAGAGACAATATTCACTAAAAAGATGTATCTGCCAATAAGACAGGAGTTAACAAATCTTTTCTCACAGAATGTAATCCATTTTCTTCTTAAATGAACACATAACAACATTTCCAAATGAGAACTCAGTCTAAAAAGTAGTACAATTGAATTTTCTTATTTTTTGAAACCCATTCATAAATGAATCATTTTCAGAGTAGAAAACTTAAGATTTTTAACATTTTAGTTAATTCAAACAAATCCCAATTCACATAAAAATGAAATTGGTTTATTTCATCATGCCAATCTTTTGGGCAAATATTAAGACTTATAAAAAATGATTAATTGAAGTTAACATTTGAAAATTTACAATAAAATTAAAAATGCCCTATATTCCCAAAATAAAACTACTGCTGATCTTAAAATAAATGAGATACAACAGAAATCCGATCACTTTTACAGAAAATAGTTTTTGCCTGAACCTCAAATTAACTAAACTGGGAGAGTTAAATACAGCCTGAAAAAGCAGACATATTGAAATTAACTGTCAAAAACGGTTGATATAATTGCTCTCAAGTATCCAGTTTATTCCATCAACAAACATTAAAGATCATTGATAAATTTTAATTTCAAATTTATCAACAATCCTATTTGAGGAGAGTGAATTACTATGTGTCTCTGATGTTTCATGTTATATCTCAGTTCTGTACTTTAATAAATAGAAAAGGTTAAATGACAATAGTCTCTGAAGGTAAAGAATGTGGGTGGGAAGATTTTGATGGTATTGACTGGAATGAATCAATGTTTATACAGTAATTGTTAAAATTATGGCATAAAATATCTTGTGAATTTTATTTTCTTACATTATTATTATTATTATTTTTAGTGATAGCAGTAGTAGTGACCATAGAAGTGATTGTTGTTGTTTGTTGTCATATGGGATTCATGTATATTGGCAGAGTTCATATGATATGCACAGTAAGTCCAGCACAAAAAAAAAAAAAAGAAAAGAAAACCCCCCAAAAAACACAGAATCAAGGATTTGTCGAGGAGGGAGCTGGGGTGTCATTCTTCTGTAGAGTTTGTCTGGAAAAGTGTTAAGGAAATTAAAATTTGTGTAAATCAAAAAAAGAAAAGAAATTAATAAGTGACTAAGAAAACATTTAAAAGTAATTCTACTTACAATTATGAATGAGAGAAATAAACTGTGTGTATAATGCATTGATCTGTAATGCTAAATGATCAAAAACTTATATTTTTCCTTGTGGTATTTTACATGTGGACTATGGATATTTTGTAATCAAATTTTACAATTGAATGTTTTAAAATCAGTAAAATCAAGATACACACAAATCAGCAAAATTTGAAATTTTGCTAAAATGACAAGGAAAAATTACTTCGTTTTGCATTGATACTATTCAAATCATGAATATATAATTAAAATAACAACATTTCATCTTTATTGAAAAGATTAGATAAAATTAGAGACATTCACAAAAAACGTGATGCCTAAAGCTTAAAATTAATTTTAAAAATGAAAAATCTTTCTTGAAGCATTTATTTTAGTTTTCATTTCAAGCAAATAGATTGAATTTAATACTTCCAATAGACAAAATATTTTGCTATATTTCAAAAACTAATTTAAATTGACTAGGAGTTTCTTTTCTTTTCTAAAATACCTGATTAGCAGACATTTTAGTTGTCTTTCATCATAATGTAATACTTTTTATTAAAAAATCTCCCAAAAATAAAATCTACTTTTCTGAAACTTTATTTGAGGAATATTAACTGGTTTAAAGTATAATTAATCTAATTTGAAACATTATTTACATTAAGTTTAAAATATTGCAGAAATTCATTATTTAACATGACAGTAGCTATGTTTTTAACCCAACACTAGCTGTTTTGATATGTTGACAGCCTGATGGCATCTCATGTTCTATAAGGAATTTATTTGTAAAAGATAATTGAAGAAATTAACGTAAGCACTTTTTTTTTGTGTAATTAAGTATTCTGTAATCTTAAAAATTTAGGAAAATATGCTCCATAATTTAATGTTTTGAATTTTAGAAAAGTTGACTTTAAATTTACTATAGTTATTGCTCTTATTTTCTGATAATGTTGGCTATTGTCCCCACACTTACAAAAATCAGCATGTTTATACTCATACAAAAAAATTCAAAATTCTTTTAAAAATATTGGTGTTTCAAAATTTGTATTAAGCTTTTCCATTTATGATTAGTAAATATAGTTTTCAATTAATAATAACATCGTCTAAAAAGCTAAAAGACAGAATTTTAAAATATTTAAAACTTAATAAATTTTTCTAAGTTTAAAAAAAAAAATTCTTATAAAAATTCATTATAAATCAAAAAGATTTTCCCTTAAGACAATAGTGTCCTTAATATATCTTATTTGTAAAATTAATTAAAAGCATTTTTAAGTAAGTAATGTCATACTTTTATTGCATTTTTTATTTTACAATACAGAGCAGATTTTTGGTAAATGATGTTGTTTACAAAAATAAATTGAGGAATCAAATTCTTCAAGGAGACTTGCTTTTAACTAATATAAATATGAACAAGCTGAAATGTTAATTTCTCAAAATTTCATAAAATTATGAAAGTGTGTGTGTGTAGGAGGATTAATAGATATAAACAAAAAATTAATTCATTTGTAAATAACTCCTGAAAATTTCATTAAAATCCAACTGATCCAATTTGATCTTTGCATTCCTTATAGTAATCTTTGACCTACTCACTGACACAAAAAAAAAACAAAAAAAACCAAAAAAAAACCAAAAAACAAGATTTTTTTAAAATCAAAATTTTGATTAAAATTTTAATAAAATAATCAAAAAATACTTTAGTCTTACCTCTTAAAAATAAACATTTTGACAATATAACCTTGTTTTTAATTAAGTTTGTGGCCTTTTTCATCAAGGTATGGTCTTTTTTAAGAAATTGAATGCCAAATAATTTTTATTCGTTTTTTGTTTTTTTTAAAAAAGGATAGCACAAAGTCGTGCCCCTCCAACATTCATTCATTCATTTAAAATGCAAGTGTCAATATTTAAATTTCTTGTTCTAAATTCTGGAATATTTTGATGGGAAAGCTGAAAAACTCGTTTTCATTCTTCTATACCGATATAAAATCATAAACAAGTCAAGGGAGGTAATCAAACATTTCCTAACTCTAACAGTAATCGGAATCAGTGAATAGAAAAATTACATTCTGACTAGAATGTTAGTTGACAACTTGAAATTCCCACTCATTTCGATAATCGTTAATTTTACAATTTATGTACATGATGTCATTGTTGGCAGAACTCATTGTCAAGTATTGGGATGCTCATCAACATTTTCTTCTGTATGAAATGATTCTATGTTGGTTCTGAAGAGATGTTCACAACCACTGCATGGTAGGGTAGGAGGGATCAGTTTGGCCTTCTATTTGTCTTCTGGTGTTTTTGAAGGAGGATTTTTTTGTGGATTTCACTTCCCCAATTGGTTCTTTAGACGTGAGAAGTCTTTGAGCATAAAAGCCTTGGCTGCAGATTGTTTGAGGTAGTCCATGGGACACCATTCCATGGCGCACACACACTTCAGCTGACACCATCCATATGTATATGTAATATAACTTAAATTTAAAAAAACTAAAAAATATGTAATTATAAAAAATAAAAACATTACAAAATCTGCTGACTCGTGTAGAATATGGAAGCATCTTCATTTAAACAATTCTGTTCATTTCAACAGAGAAAAACATTTTCTAATTTCAAACCATGAAATATTGATAGAGAATTAGTTAATTTCTACTAAAACCTAAGTAAATATAAAAAATTTAATAAGAATGGTGTAGATTCTCCTATCTTTAGTACAACAATGAAATAACAGGACACTTAAAATATAAAAAACTTTATAACAATAAAACATAGTATTATATACTTCAGACATAAACAAAAAATGTATGAAATTAAATTTGTTTTGTGACCAAAGTGCTGATTAAGGATACATAGATGTGCTCAGACACTGCAGCTGAAACAGAAAAATAAAATATGTATAATTCCCAAACATATTACAAAGTAACTATCAAAAAGGTTATTTTGGGGTAATAAAATGATAATAGAATGAAGTTAATAGACTGCATAACACTGGAGAATAAGATTATTAAATGAATCCATGTAGAGCTTAGCCTCTGACAACCTCCACAGCAGACTTAACACAGAGGTGGACACCATAAAGGACACTCAAAAAAATGACAGCACCTGAGTACAGACAATAGGCTTAAGACTCCAAAATGACACCACTGAATTGTTCAAAAGACATAGTCTAGTGGATTAAAGGATTGATTAAAATGTATCTGGTTCCTTAGCAGTTAGTTTTGAAATCAGTTGGATGGTGTGGAAAATGTCAATGGATGAAATGGATATGCAGCACGAAGGTAAACAAGATACAATATATAAATTAAGCACGGAAAGTGGAAGGTGTACTGCCTATCCCCATAGACTGAATAAAGTGTTCATTCCAAATTCTGAGAAGTACAACAAATAGCAGAAGTGTACAACAGTTGAAACAAAGATGAATATAGCATGTTGAATATAATGACATAATCACATTTTTTCTTCTTAAAAGAAAAAAAAAAGAAAAGAAAAAGTAATACAATAAATTTATTCTTATGTATACATTTTATTATGCAAATGTATTTCTTACACACAATCTATGCAGTTCTTCAAGAAAACACAGGTTTGTAGCTGTTCTAGTGACTACAATCAAATTTGAATTGGAAGTTATTTTTGTCAAGTTTCTAATCAATACAAAGAAATTACAATTCTGACTTGTGAACCAAGTTGTCCTAATTATTTTTCCCATGAGTGCTTACAAGTAATTTAAAAAATTTGTTCAAGATCAGGATATGCATCAATGTCCCTAAGCATGAAAGAAGATATAAATAAATTTTACAATGCACTAGATAACACCAAAGGCCAGTTCAAATCACAAGAAAATCATCATAGGGTATCTAAATGCAAAAGTAGGAAAAGAACAAGATCTGGAAGTAGTTAAGTATGGACTTGGATCATGAAACAAACATGGAGAAAAATGGGTACATTGATGTACAAGGAATACCCAAATAAAAAACAATATCTGGTTTGAAAACACTCAAAATACTTGTGGACAGGGAAAATCCTAGGATGGGATACAAAGAACCAGACAAACTAATGATAAGTAAAAGATTTAGAAATGCACTTCAACATGCTTAAACATTTTCAAACTAAGTCATAGACAAACTAAAGATAAAATTAAAATTAAAGAAACCTACATCAACTACAATACAAGAAAAAAGTCAATTAGCAAATAAACATATGGTGGTGTACTTAAAAACAAATATATAAAAATAAGGTCAGCAACTCGAACTGGAATACATTGGGAAACTATAGTGACCAGTAGAATTTATCCTAAGGGAAGAGAAACACCTGAATGACAGAGGAAAGTCTCAAACTAATGAAAAAGAGGCAGAAGATAATGCCAAGGAATGACAGAATATAGAATGTTAAGCGAAGCCATTACAGATAAATGCAAGTGAGCAAAAGATGAGTGGCTTAACAAGAATGCAGAAATAGAAACATTACAAAAGTCCAATGACATTATGAAATATCAATATCATTTAAAGTGTTCCAATCATTATGTATTAACTCATTACAAAATTCATTAAAAAGTCAATGACAATAATGACAACTGAACATTACTCATTATTAATTATAGTTCTTTATATATATATATATATATATATATATATATATATATATATATATATATATACACACACACACACACACGGATGGATTCTCCCAATGACAGACAAGGGCTCAGTAGATTCTGTATGTTTTTATTGAACAACCTGCACAAGTGAGTTGTTTTAAAGTTGTCAATTGCCTGTGCCCTGAAACACACACTCCAATCACCACACCTTGTCCTGTACTGGTGAACTGTGTCCTGCATATCAGACGATGCAACAATTGCAGGATTTTTGGATATAAGTTTTCCACCTAGCTGCATGCTGACCATTGGCTTTTATAAAAAAGCTCATCTGCCCTTTGATAACTCTCTCCAAGCTGGTTTGGATTCAGAGTTTTTTTTTCTAGACTGGTTGGCAATCAAGGCTATAGAGCCCAGTCTGTCCTATTTACCCATAATTGGGGGAGGGGGGGAGATTCATGCCTTTGCCAAGGGTGTTTATGTGTAAGTTAATATAATGAAAACTGGAACTCAACTTCTCTCAGATTTCTCATTCCAAACCGTTATCCATCAGGTACTGACCAGGCTTAACATTATTTAGCTTTGGTAATCAGACAAGAACCAGTGTTTTGTCATATGGCTGTAAGCTCTTTATATAATGCACATGGCCTGAAGATTACATTATATCTGTAAATGCTCTCTCTATTCTCAATATTGAGCATAAATATAGTAAATTTTAAACAATTATATATATGGACATTTTTCTTTCATTATCTAATGTACATAAAAGGTCAGTAGGAAAATTTATACATTTCACTTAACAACAAATCATTTTTTTTTCACATTATTTATATTTGGATTATTGTCCTCATCTTTGTTGTTGTTGTTATCACAACATGATCGCCATTTCTCAAGTGTATATTGATCTGGGTAATCTACAGGGAATTCTGAACTGATCTCTTTATTTAATCTCTAAGGGTAGACTGTTCTCGTTCCACTGCTCACCTCATGTCTTATTTTTATTTAGTAACATTCAGTTATTGCTCGCATATTCCCACTCAGTGAAGTTAAACACTGCCTGATTCAAGGATTGAACTCACAACCACCATGTCATCAAATTCAACACTTTTTTCACTAGGCTACTGGACAGTTTGCTGCAGTAAACTTAACCTGGCTGCCAATTAAGTTGCAACTACTGCTGCTGAATATGACCAAGAATTGTGTGTACACAATTCTTTGCAGTTAAGGCTGAGAATATAAAGGTGAAACAAGCCGCACAATAAAAGTAAGGTTGGAGGAACATTGAAAAGCCATAGTGAGAGGTGAGACAATGAAATCAGGCATGGCTGATCATGTATGGCAGGAAGGGAGTAGTCATCAGCTTCTGTGAAATGAAGTGAAAATACTAGACAAGGAAGAACACTAAAGAGTTAGATGTCTGAAAGAATCAGCACATGAGCTTGGCTATGAGGACCTCCTTAATAGGCCTATCATAGAAATAAATACAATATAGGAGCTGCTAATAAAGAAAGAAAAATGACAGCAAGTCTTCAACCACAGCTGCAATCAAAACATAATGGCAAGCAGCAGCAATTGCAACCTAATCAACAACCAGGTTAAGTTTAAGGTTCTAAGTTTACAACAGCAAATTACAGAAGGTAAAACCATTGGTTTATAAATTTACTGACATAGCGGGTGTGAGTTCAATCCCTGGGTTGCACTCAGTGAAAATGGGTGAGCAATGACTAAACAGTACTAAATAATAAAATATGAGATGAGGAGCAGAACAAGAACAGTCTACCCTCAGAAATTAAATAAAGGGTTACTCAGATTGCCAGAGAGCACAAAATCTGAAACATTGTGATAGCAAAAACAAAGATCAGGACAATAGTGTAAATAATTATAACTCCACAAATCCAGACAAAAATTAAATTATTTATGGAAAAATGTATAACAGTCATATATCAACTACTTTCAAATCTTTAACAGCGATACCCACTCTACATAGAGGGTTACAGAGTAAGAGGCACAGTTTATGTGGACATGTGGGGAAAATAATGGTTAATCCTATACTTGAACAAGTTAAGATTATAGTTACTGGTAAAATGTTCTCTTGAACAGCAGATCGTAGGATGAAGATGTTCAAGTGGAACTTACATCTCATAAACGGAATACAAAGGGAATGAGGGTGGTTCACTACAATGTGCATAGCGTAGCAGATTTTAGCCATTAAGGTTAGAACTGGTAGAACTAAAAAATATAGTTTGTCTGAGCATTTTCTATGGAAATAGCGACAGAGCAGTGAGAGGCTTGTGATGTTTTGTCTATGAGAGAGTGGTTTTAGAGTAGAAGATAATTTGTCATCCACAAGGATTTGGAGATATTTTTGGACTATCAAAACTGGAAAGTGAACTGGGTAGCTCCTATCCATAAATGGCAACAGCACTCCATTTTAGGCAGAGGACAACAGAAGTCAGGTACTTACTGGATCAATAAAGAAAACTGACCATTTTTCTAACATCTTTAGTGATGGACAGTATGTATGAGCCCCACTAGAGGCCTGGGCTGAGTTTAAGACCCAATAGGTATTCAAGGCATGGGGCCTTCCTGAGGGGACACCCATTCATCATAATTGGTGATGGTTCATTGTCTGATTGGCAATGAGGTTTGGTTTTCAAGGCATTGAATGTAACCCACTGAGCTGTTAGCGCTTGTTCAGAGGAGAACTCAGCTGAACAATCTCTGGTCATCTAGGGTTTTGGAGGTGCACCCATATACAGTTGTATCATCAGCATAGATATTCACAAATGATCAGAGTATACTTAAGCAGATTATATGTAAAATAAAAAAAAAAAAGTTAGTCTTAGAAGTGACCTCTGGGGGATGATAGCATTGATGTAATATAATATATAAACAAATTGCCATTAAATAGTTGTTGTAATCTATGCTAAGATGCTATTTCAGTGAGACAGTCACAATGCCCGAGAAACAAAACAAAAACTGCAAACATGATTACAACACATAGTTTGCTGATTGTTCAAATTCACATGTTTCCAAATTATATGTAGATTTATGTTAAGGAAAATATTTAAATGTTTTGTAAATATAAGATAAAACTATAATATTCTGGGTTAAGTAATTATTAGCTCTGAAAATTAATTAGATATCACAAAAAAACAGTTTTGAAATGGTATAACTGAACTAATTTCAATAAGATTTTTATTAATACATTAATTTTATAGCTTCTGAAGCTCCATGCATGACTGTATTACACTAACCCAATGGATACAATTCTTATTCAGTAACCTTTTTATTCTTTCTTTTTTATTTTTATTAGAGAGGGAAATATTATCTTGTTTGCATTTCTATAACTAGATATGTTTTTAAAAACCAGTCTTGAAGATGATGAAATTTTATCTCACATGACGAAATTCTCATAAAAATATGCAATGTGCCTAGATTGAAAGTAATAATCAACAGGGGAAGACAAAAAAAACAAAACAAACCACAAACCTGATCAATTAATTTTCCCAGATTCTCATTGGCTGTTTTTCTTGCCATATCAGTATCTAACCTGAAATAAAACCAAAAGAAATTATTAAACGAATTAAGAAAAGAGTAGAGACTTTAATTTACAATAAGGTGATTGTAATCCATTTTGATATTTATTACTGTTATAAAATTTCCTCTATTACTAAAAGAGAGTAAACAAATAAATTGGTGTAGAAGTTTTGACACATGAATATTTAAAAGACTTGATATTGAACAAATTTTTTCATTTGCACTGGTACAATGATTTTTTTTTTTTTTTAAAGCAGGATACATCTACTCAATGCAACGATTCATAATTACCAATTTTGAATTTAAAATAATAATGATTAACAAAAGTAAGAAAGGGTTTTTTTTTTTTTTTTTTACATTGGTGGTTATGTTTGACATTTTAGCATTAAATTATCAATTTATAAATGATTAATTATATATGATTTTGTCCTCATTGACTAATATACCGATAAAAGAACCTATTATCATATTGCCAAGGGTTACCATAAATAGTCTTAAGATGACACCAACAGTTTCTAATTTAATATAGCATCACGATTGCAAATGCAGTGGGGGGGTGCATTAGAGTTTGGTGCAATTAATCCCACAATACCAAATGATTTTTTTTTAAAGCTAATCATAATAAAATGTACCACAGACCTGTGAAGATCCTGTTGAAGATCCAAATCAAAATGTAGTCGTGCCAGTCGTTCTTGTTGTTCTCTTATTTGGTCCATTTTTTCACATGATGAGTCCACTCCTAATCAGTTGAAATATAAATACACAAGATAAAATTCATACAAAAATTGTTTTTTGAAGAGTTTTAAATTTATATATATTTTTTTTATATTTTTGAAAATTAAAACCATCAGTTCTGCAAATTTTTTAATATTGGCTTACAAAAGTTTTGATAAAATTTTTCAATGTGTACTGTGATTTTTCTATTTTAGGTCAACTATAGATAAATTGATTAGTAACTAAATTTATAGTACTAATGTAAAATAAGAACTTCAGTCACATCCCCACTCCATGTACAAACTTCAATCAATATTCCTGAAAAGGCAAATTATTCATTTGTAGATTAAACTAATTAATCAGTTCAATTTGTTTCATCCAATATTGTGACAATATCTTTACATATAACCGGGTAAATTTAGATTTGCTTACTTATAACTTTGAGAAAGATGTCTTCAATAAAAAGAGGTGGGGGAACAAAAAATATCATTTTTCCATTTATGAATTGTAGATGGCCCAGACATTCCAGGAGGGCTTCTCTCTTCTACATAGTTCACATGAGCCAGGTGTGACCAACCAAGAACTTATACAATCTTGTCATTTCCAAAATGTGGCTTCCAAGCTCTTCTGATTTGATTGGACTACTATATCTGAAGTATTGTCAAAGAATAGACAAACCAGTGGCCCACGAACACAAAGGATTTATTGAAAACAGCCTTAATAAATAAACAAGAACCACCTAATCTGAGTATTCATTCACATCCAGGGCTGCATTGAGGATATACTCAAGGCTGACAGCAGTTGTATTGAATAAGATTTGTTTGTTTCAAATTGAACATGTGTACAAATATTCAGCAGAAAAAAAAACTATATGTGTGCTTTACTTTATATCATAAGCTGTTTTCAATTATCTGGCTCACCTTCTACTTATTTTAATAAGCATTTCAAAAAGATTTCACTTACCAAAAGCCTGTAATTTGCCAGAGTGAAAATCATCTAAAAGTTGTAATAACCCTTGTTCCATCATTCGAACATCAGCTACATCCGTCAGAAATGAGTGTTCTTTACATGGACGATTGGCAGTAGTCTTCTCTAAAGAAAGCAATCAATTATATATATATTACAATGAATAATAATCTAATACTCAATTTAGAGTAATAATTTATTTGAAAGGCTCAAATAGAAAAAACTGTCATGAGCCAAAAGAGAAAGAAACACAAAAATGGGGGAAAAAAAAACAAAAAACAAAAAATAGACAAAAAAAAAAAGAAAAAACAATCATTGTTTTTATAAGAATTAGTCAATAACTATTTGATATCTAAGATCATATATATATATATATATATATATATATATATATATATATATATATATAAAAGTCAAAACTAGGTCAAGTAACAGGAATAAGGCAAAAAGGTTCACAAAGTAAAAATTGTGTTCACACACAAAGGGGAGAAAAGTCAAGTGGATATACCAATCTGATTTCAAGTCAAAGAAAAAACCAAAATATAGGGTAGGAGACCAATAATTGTCCACTTTTATTAGTTAAAAAAAAAAAAAAAAAAAAAAAAAAAACAACAAGAAGTGGCCTATCTTATTGGCTATGGAGAACTGAGGAGTAGAGGGGAAAGTACTTTGCAGTCATTCATTATTGGGACTGGAACAAACAATATATTTTTTCAATGTGTTTTAGAAATGTTTATTTTGATGAAACACTTGAATAAATGCAACTGTTGAAAGATATATTTTCAAATTGTGCTGGGCATTACTACACTTGTAGGACCATTGGCCAGGAATATATTTGGACTAATTGAACCCTCATATAATGAAAAGAAACAACTTAATTGAAAGCTCCATATTATTTATCTCTCCCAAATGTTGAATGTTTTATAAAATACAGAGGAATTGATACATTATAGAAACTATAACATTTGATTTGAATCACATTCCACAAATTCAAATTTAAATATTGTTTTTTTTAAGGATAGGCTGATTTATTTATTTATTTTTTTTACTTCTTAAACATTGAATAATATAGTAAATATTTCAATACTAGTAAAAAAGTGGTGAAGAATGTGTGTGCAGTTCAGATTCTGGCTGGGGCTAGGAGATTCATTTCACCCTAATGCCTTTAGGTAAAGGCATGAATCTTGTCCCCTTAGAATTTGTAGGGCAGATATGAATTGACAGAGCAATTAGTTTTGTGGAAGCTACACTGAATTCAAAATTGGAGAAGGTAAGAAGAAACCATTCTACTATTCTTCCTAAGAAGAGTCATGTCAATTCACAACTTAGAAGTGAAGATCCAGGATTGATTATGTCTTAACAGGACATTTTTTTTTAAATAGATAAAAAAATATTTCAAAAAATAGATAAATAAAATATATCTAACAGTAAAATATCCTTACTCACACTTTAGGGTAGTGTTAATATGATAAAGAAAGCATGGTAAAATGTAGTAAAGTAAGAAACTGGTTTGATATTACATAAGCCCTTATTGCCATTGTAATTTATTTGAAATAATCTACTGTTCTTCAGCTTAACAATTGTACTTTTTCTTTCCTTTTTAAAATGAAGTTCACTCAATACAAAGCTGAAGAGGCCACTAGAGGTAGAGAGTCATTGAATGAGGTGTGTGATATGAATGTAAATGTAGGAAGTAAATATTATGAGAATATGGAGAATTGGTAATGAGTGAACCTTTACTTGAAGAGGTTAAGATTGTAGTGTTCAGGGAAGCATCCATATAGGAATCTGTTCCACAAAGCAGGAACCTTCCTCCTTATCATTGGAATATGGAAGCAATGAAGGTGTTTCAACAGTGCTTATCTGTAAACAGTGGCGTAGCTAGTGTTTTTGCTGCTCAAGGCGGCCTTCAAATTTACCACCCCTCCCCAGAAGGAATACAATATTACAATGCACATTAATATATATATATATATATATATATATATATATATATATATATATATATATATATATATATATATATATAAAAACGTCAAACAAAAATATTTGTACAGCCATCAATTTTTAATATTTTTTTATCCATTTCTCAGAATCTAATGCCTGTATGATAACAGAAACATGGAAAAAAAAACCCAAAAAAACTAATAGCATGGTATTTATAACTCCTCACTGATAAATTATGAAATAAAAGTACAATTGTGTTTATTTATTTTTTTTTATAAGTAAAACTGAGGATATGTATAAAAAAAACAAACAAAAAAAAAAAAATAACTGAAGACATTACTTCTTTTTTCTAAATCAGGAAAACTTTAAAAACGTTTTATGATATTAAAAGATGTTTTCGTTTATATACCCTCTGTTTTATTTAAAAAGAAAAACAAAAAACACATACTTTTAATTCATAATTCATCATTTTTTTTTTTAAATATTAATAGTCATAAGTTAAATGCCACATTAACAGAAACATGGTTTGTTTTTCTTTTAACAATGTAAAAAAATGCAATGTCTTTTTAAATTATTTTGTTTTACACAGTTGAAGTTATTATTAGCAAAGTAGTAGACTAAGAATTAAAAAGTCTGATAAAATTAATTTCACTTTTAAAAACTGAAATGTTATATTTTTAATTCTTAATCTATTTTGCTTAATAAAACTCCATCTAAAAAAAAAAAAAAAAAAAAAAAAAAACCCTAAAACATTGCATTTTACTACTGTGAAAACTAGTAAATTGAAAAAAAAAAAAGCCCATTTTTGGAATTTAAATAAAGTTTCTGCACTTAAAAAATATATTAATTTTCAATTTTCTTTTAAATTTCTGTTCGATATTTCCCCCAAAATTGGAATGCATGTAATATCCTTAAAGCATTGAAATTATTTCAATTTATTTATCTATTTTATAATTTATGAAAAGTAACAATTTTATATCTGTATTAAAACTAGGCCTATGATAAGATAAAAAAAAAAAAAACAAAAAAACCATTGATTCATTTACTTATTTATTTTTTTTCATTTGCAGTTCAGACATGAAAACTCAAAATCAAAGAACTGATGCCAAAGTGTGGACCTCTCACATAGGTGTGAAAAAACTGTGGATTCACTAAATTCAATTAATCCAACCCCACATCAAGCCCTTTAAAAATGTTTGCATTTTTTTTTTTTTTTTCACACCTTTTGCTCACGGCTTGTGAGGTTTATCCCTATGAGCTGACAGCGCATTTTGGAGAATTTTTTTTTTTTTTTTTTTTTATTGCTGGGATGGCTGGCTTTGAGCCAGCCATATCAAAACAAATTGGCTTCATTTGAACCCTATCTTCTTCCTTCTCATTACTTTTTTTTTTGCAAAATTATTGAAATAATACTATTGTTTTTTTTTTTTCTGAAAACCTGCTGCAGACCAAAAGTGACATCCTGGGGGGTGATGATGATGATGATGATAACACCGCCCACCAGTGTCTATAAAGTGGTGGAAATATAATAAAGAATGGAGCTCATCTGAAAATGTACCATGAAAATAGTGAGTGGCTTGTGACATTGCATCTGTGGAAAAGAAGCTGCAGGGAGGAAAATATGTCATTCCCTCAAAGCTGAAGAGAAAATAACTGTAAAATGAATCAACTTCTATTTGCCTCCTGAAATGCATGCTGGGTAAAGAGAGAAATAAATACCAGCTGTAGCCTCAATGCTGACTGACCAAGCTGTTAAATTCAAATTAAATTAAATCGTTCAAATTATCCATGAAAAAAAAAAAAAAATTAGACAGGATTCTATAAATTCCAGGTACTGATATGGACTTGATTAAAGATAATGTATAATTTTTCAATAAAAATAAAAACAAACTTAACATTGCACCTACATAAAACAATTGTTAAGAATACAAAAAATTCAGTTTTTTAAAAACATTTTTTCTTTGATTCTTAACATTGTTAATTATGAAGCTACATATCTTTCACTATTTTTTGCCTTTATATACATGTTTTTAACCAAAGCCAAGATTTTTACTATACAAATGTAATGTTATACCATTATAAAACGAACCTTGTGTCGGCCTTTTTCCATTTTCAGCTTCTACTTCAATATCAGAGAGCACTTCTTTCTTCCACTTCACTTGGCTCCCTGCACTTGCTGTAGCCCCATTGCTGCTGCTCACCTGGGTTGTGGGTCCACTTGAAGGGGTGATGGGCTCTTCAGGTTCCATATCTAATGGTTCCTGGAAATACAAAAACTAAAAGAAAAGAAAAAAAATTTTTTACCGTCAATGTTTTTAATGAAAAACAAAACAAAAAATATATCTAATATTGTTCAGACAATTGAACCCCTTTTTGTTAGTTGTATTCTGTAAGTAGAAAACCCTAAAAATTTCAAGAACAAACCCAAAGGATATCTCAGAAGTGCTGAAGAATGTAATAGCAGAAACATTAACAGCAAGTAGATAAAGGAGGAGTTTAATTACCCAATCAATATTGATTATGGTAATGTCTATCCTCAAAGAAAATATATCTGCAAAATCATTACAGACCTGAACCAGTATATAAAAATGTATGTATAAAGAGATGCTAAAAAGTTCTTGTCTCAGACAAAAAGCCTTAAAGGAAAGAAGTGGGTCAGGCCAAGAATTTTTCAGTACACCCTTCTACAATGGTGACAGAAATTGTCACACAATCCTGATCAGTTTTCCAACAATTTTTGTATAGATGCCAAGAAGTTTCGATACTAATAAGCCTGAAGTTAAAAAAAATCCAAAAACATTTAACAGTCAGCATGTTGCATTCTCATGAGAGAGAACACATTATATTTCAAGATTAAAACATCTGGAAAATCTTATAAAGAAATTCATTCTCCCGAGGAAGATCCCAGTTGATTTGTTTCTTTCTTTCTTTACAGTGCATCAACACTTTGTTGCTTATTTAAAGTGCGAACATATTTTAGATTCTAAGAATAATTTCTTTTTTTTTGTGAGTGAATATCATTAATTTTTTGCTAATAACAATGATTTTTCCATTTGCAAGTCCTACTTAACTTAACCCATTCCTAACTTTGTCAAGGGTATTGTGTCTATAAATGAATGTAATGAACCCAATTGGAATTTGAACTTAGCTCTCCAATTACTAATTTCATTACACCACATGCATATCCACATCACAATTGACAAGGACACAAATCAACAGACTAGGAAAAGACAAAAAATATTTTTCCAAAGAACAAAAGTTTTACATGTCATAACCTGGATAATAAAAATAGGGTTGTGAAAGTAATCATCAATTTCAGACAACTATGCAAACAAAGAAGCAATGCTGAGTAAAAATCGAAGTTGTATTTTTTTTTCGTTTTTACACATTTGAAGTAAAACTTTGGAGACACCTGAGAAAAGCTAAAGAATGGATGGGCCAAAACATCTATGCACATATACAGAAAAAAGTGTTCCATTGACTGAAGAATAGTGGGTATGTTTAGGATTTATTCTCAAATTTTTAAACAAGAAAACAATATTTGTTAAAGGATCTCCATCTTTGTTTTAGTTCATGTTTTGGCTAGTTCAAAAGAAAAAAATAGCAAAAATAATAAAATCTAATAAAAAAGTAAAAAGAATAACAGACAGTTTTATCTTAAGATAAATCTTTAATATTTATAATTGTGATTATAACAAAGGTTATAATGCTTTATTCAGATGTGTATACTTGCTATATAATATGAAATGCTTGTTTTTTCAAAAAGGTTTCTAAGAATAAAAAATTATATTACAGATTAAATTTTTCAACATCATTACTTTATGCACACACAGAGCAGAATGCAAATCTTTATTACAAAACCTAAACAAAAAAGTCAATTCAAAGTAACATTGTCATTTTTCAGGTGGTTTAAAAGTTACACGTTTGATTCATTTGCAACAAAATCATAACTTATGACTGACATTTAAAATTTTGGCATTTTATTACTTTAGAGCTACCAGATTGTATTTAGTTGGTATATGGAAGTTGTCTTACATCTTTCCCTCCTCAATCTGACATACTGTTAATAATACAGATATCAATATATATTTCTTTACCTAAAATTAAAATTCTTTATGTTCATATAAAATCATTTTATTAAACTTTCAAAATATCTAGTGATTGGCATTAACTCCATAAAAGTTATGTCTACATTATAACAAGTCATAACAACAAAACACTTGTAGCCTTAAGCCAGACTAAGTTTAGTAAATAACCATTATTTCACATGACTAAATTAAAACATTTTATTATTTATATTTACTTCATTACTGTAAGAAGTACTAAGAACTTATTGGAGCATTATCCTATTATACAAGAATTCAAAGTATATGATATGGTATATTAATGATAAAACCAACCAATTCTACCATTATTGGGATTTGAGGGAGTTGTACTTTACTTAATTATAAGCACTGGATTATCATGTTGGTGCAAAACCAATTTCAATTTTAATCCATTACCTGTCACAAAGCTTATTTTCATATATTCACCCGTTAACAGAACCAGAAAAACAACCTAAAATCAATTATGTGGTTCCAATTATAGATACTGTCAAATTTAAATATTCTATTCCAGGTGGTTAAAAAAGAAAATTACTGTTAATTTGAAGTTACTTTCTATATAGGCAAAAACAATAAAGAACATTAATTTCTAAAAAAATATGTCAGTGTACAACATTTTATAATTCTGTTATTCAAATTTATTTTCAATAAGTTTATTTGTAAAGCAATTTAAACAAAAGTGTGAATAACAAAACGATCAATCTTTAAAAGAAGCGACATGATTTGAAATAGTTACCTCCCTTGAACTGTATAGTCATCATTGCATACGAATTTGCCCAGATATTTTAAATGACATGTACTGACATCCCAGTTCATGTTCTCTTGAAAGGATGAATTAAATTTAATTCTACACTGATAATTTTTTTTTTTGAAGCAACTTTATAAAGATGAGATGAAATTACACACACACATTATATATATATAAAATGGATTATTTAAAATTATATTGGCAGGTTTGGGATCAAACCATAAAAGAAAAAATATCAGAAGTAATATTTATAAAAAATTATTAATTTTTTTGTTTTTAATTAATACTTGCATTAAAACTGTTTTAGAGGATAATGATTGACATTTTCTTTTAGTACTGAATTAGTTTATATTTCATTTTAAGCAGCCAACTTAGGGCCAACTTAGATCAGTGAGGTCAGAAAAAGGAGGATAATTTGAATGACAGATTTTCATAAAAAAAGCAATTAAAATTAATGGACAATAAAACATTAAGTGGGTGAAAAAAAAATGAATGGAGTAAGAGAAAAGAACATGTTTAAAAGTAATTCTGATACTGGGAACTGAACCAGGAACTTTCTAAAGTTATTATAAAACATTATTTGTTTCTATCAAGAATGATGATGTAATGTCTAAATTTGAAACCTTTCAAATACTCAACAAAAAAAAAAAAAAAAAAAAAAAATAATAAAGAAAGGCATCAAGGTTTTTTCCTCCCACCAACTGAAATTTTTTAAGGTCATTAATTTTTTCTTAATTATAAAAATGTTCTACTTAGGAGCTGTACAAGTGTATGTATGCATATATAATTAAGAACAAAATTTAAATGGTGTATGTTATAAAAAACAGATACAGCATGAAAAAATATTTACAATATGTGCTCTAATGCATAAAAAGGTAAGTTTTTAGTTTCTTAATAAACAGTAACTTGTCCCTTTTCATAAATCATGGTGGATTATTAGGATAATTTGAAATAGGAGAGACAACTTGCTCTAATCCAAGCAAGCAACCAAGCAGAAAATTCTAATGTTAGTTGCTAATAATATTCCTTATTGTTAAGAGTAGTATTTTTTACCCCCTTTTACAACTAAGAATTTAACAATGAAAAGGAAAATAACATTTATTCATTGAAAACTACAGCCAATCATTTGATAAATGTATTTTATGGAAGAAATAAAGAGGGACTGACTAAAAGCAAACTATTTGTTGCTCTCTAATGACTAAGCATAAGGAATTTGCTTGCAGGTTCTTAGTTCATGTTAAAATATTTTTTATCTGCTTACTCAAGATACAATGATGACATTAAATCAAAGTTTGCTAAAGCAGTAGCAACAGGAGTGCAACTTTAGCAGTATTTGTTATAAAAAACAAAAAACATTTTTCCTATAGTTGGGGTAAAAAGAACATTTGATGGAGTCGATTCAGAATTAATGCATTTGAATTAATAAAATTAAATTTCTAAAATTTTTGAGATCAGAAATTTTCATGATACTGTGATTTACTTGAAAAATCGTCCTTATCTTGGGTGTTTATAGCTACAATGTTTCAGGTGTATCTTTTGACCTTCATCAGGTGCCTGTTGTATTTGATAAAGTTCTTACAATTTCAAACTAAAGCTTTCACACCTACATCACCTAATTATGTTATGGGACAAATCGGTTAAGTGCTGCTATTGATGGTCATATGCTCAAATTCTTAGGCATTAGAATCCATATAGAAGTGGAAGGAGTAAAAGAAGCATTGGAAAAAAAAATTCTAAAATGAGACTATTTCCTAGCATGGACAGTGGAATGAGTATAATCTACTTTTATGGATTAAATAAAGGATTCAGTTCTAAATTCTGAGAAGGTGAACTGAAGAAGGTCAGAATACAATGGCCAAAATGTTGCAACTGTAACATCAAGATAAAGACAACAGTTCAAATAAATTGGTATATAATATTTGTAATATTAAGTCTATCTTATATTTCTAATCTATATAAAGCACAGTGTATGTTTGTCCATTTTTTTGATCTGGGCAAATCATAAACAACCTGAAGTAACAGGTAGTAACTACTATAGTTACAAGTGATTAAGAATTAAATAACTCATTTAAAGTTAAATTTAAATATCAAACTGAGTGGAAGGTTTTAAAAAAGCAACTCTTTATTAAAGGTTTAACTTTAATTTCACTTTTTGTTGCATTTGTAATTTATATTGTCTAATTAAACTGCAATTAAAACTTAAGCAGGCATGGTACGTTGCTCATATGTTTTATTTTCTTTTTTTAGCACATGTACGGTGACGTATTCGAAATATTACATAGTTCTAGTTCTTTAATGTCTTTTAAGAGTGACTTTATGTTAAGTGATCATAAAGAATGGTGATTTTAAAAAATAAAATTTACGTACAAAATAAATGTAAATAAACTACAGAAATCGGTTGAGTATATGAAGAAAGATTATGCCA